ATTTCTAAACCCAGCTCTGGAGGATGGAGAGGAGGAGTGAGATCGGAGGTGTCAGACAAAGCCTAACAGAAGGCAGCTACACACGGTCCCCGGAGAGAGACAGTGTGGCACAGGCCTGCCGAAGTCAGGATATCCTTCAGGCATTTGGGAAGACTTCCTGGAGGAGGCAGCCCCGCAACTTTCCCAGCCAAAGCAAGGGAAGGTGGGAGGGGAGGCGACCTGCCCTGGAGGGGACAGTGAGAGAAGGGCAGATAAGCCAAAGCTTGGCAGTGCCCCCAGAGAGGCCCCCAGCCACTCAGAGCAGCCTGGCCGTACACCCGTGTCCCAGCTGACCCTCCCCGGAACCAGCGAGCTAGAGGTCTTATTCCCATTTACCAAAAGGGGAAGCTGGAGCCCAGAGAGAGCGGACCACTTCCCCGAGGTCACATAGTAGTCATGCCTGGAGCCCTCAGCACCCTGGAACCATGCTGGGTCCAATAAGATGACCTTCAGAAACGCTCTGACGCTGTCTTCCTGGACTCAGGAATGCTTTTCATCCTGCTTTGCCTGCATCCTAGCCTCAAAGCATCACTCATGAGGCAGGGAGAGGGGCCCATTGATCAGGAAGACAAACTGAGGCCAGAGAGGGCAAGTCGCCTGCCCGGGGCCACTGCCTGCCATCACCGGCCGGCAGGGTCTGCAGCCAGCTCTCTCCAGCTCCTCATCCTTTTCCCACAATCCTGGCCTGGCTGGGGCCTTCCTCCCCTCCCCCCAGCATCCCCACTGTTTTCCTGGCTTGCTCTCTCTCCGGGAAGGGAGCGTGCTCTGAGTCTGTTTCCCTGGGAGAAATCCATTTTCAGAATCTGGAGGTGTTGAAATGTGTTCTTTTTTCCTCTCCAGAGAGCCCTTCTTGAGGACAGAGGTACCCCGAGAATCCCTCTGGGGCCGCCACCAAGCCGGGATGGGCAGTCCATCAGGAGGGCCTAACCCCAGCCGGGGTTGCGGGGTGCCCTGCACGGGGTCTGGGGAGGTGACCTATCCATCCCGGAACAGTGGGTGGCGGGGCTGCTCCAGACACGCCCGCACCTGCACCTTGACTCCCGGAGATGCTTAGCTGCTACCCCTCAGCTGGGGCTGCAGCCCTTCTGGTCCCGGGAGCAGGGCGGTTCCTGAGCCCACCTGCCCAGCTCGGGGCGGGAGCATCACCTGGGGAGGGTAGGTCTTACCGTCATCATCTGCCAGTGGGGCCTGTGGAGGTCACAGAAGTTCTTGCTCTAAAGGGCCGTGAGCATCCTCTGACCCATGGAGCCACCCCCGGGGTCATGGGCACGGGGGTCGGAGAGGAAGGGGGGTCAGGAGTGGAGGCGATAGGAGGTGGCGGGGAGGGCGGGGGGAGTGTGGCCCTCTGCCCCCGCACGCTGACTACACCTGCCCGAGGCTTGCCACATAGCTGCTTCCAACATCCACTCTAGAACGAGGATCTGGCCTCACCTTCCCCACCCTTATCTCCGCAGGCAGCTCTGACCACACCTTCCTGTGGCTGCCCCACCCCCTCTCCAGGGCTCCCAGGCCCTCCACGGGGGCTCCTTCTGTCCGGTGGAGGCCTTGCCTGTCGACCACCCACTCCGGCGGTAGGCCTGGGGTCTTGGGGAGAAGTTCCTCGAGCTCCAAGAACGCACATCCCTGATCGTGGACTCGTGATCCACCCAGACTGAAGCCTGGAAGGGTCCTGGCCAAACCAGGCTGTCCACGGCCTAGCCGTGGGGCCCACAGCACCCGGGAAATCTCAGCCTCAGTTCTGAGCCTTCAGGACAGGAAGCAGCCTTGGCCAGAGACAACTAGGGACTTCAGGGAGAGGATATTCAAGGACCCACTCCTCCAGGAGAGTCTCCCTGCAGGGCCGTCATGTGATGACTCTGCGTGTCCCCGTCCAGACCCACAGCCAGGCCCACCATAGCCCTTACATCCCCAAGCAAATCACCCTGAAACTCCAGCAGAGCTGTTTCACGACAGGTCCCAGAGGGCAGGAGGGAGCTAGGTCCCTCTGGGTTGGGCTCTCTTCCTCTGTCATCAGCCTCTGCGTCTTGGCCCGCTGGCCACAGGGTAAGGACCAGGTTTACCCGGGCTTGTCGAGACTTCCAGCCAGCCCTGGGCCAACCTCCAAACCGACCTGGAATTCCAGCTCCCACCCACAGACCGGAGGCCCTCCAAGGCAGGGCTGGTGTGTGCTCCTCAGAACAGCTGAGTGCTGCAGGTGCCGAGTGAATGAATGGACGGACGAATGAATGGATGAACGAACGAATGGACACAGCACACTGCTTGGCAGGACTCCCCCCCACCCCCCCCCCCGCCTCCTCCTCACCACGACTGAGCACAGAGCTTCCTACCCCGGGACTAGCACATGAAAACACACTTCACTTCAGGCCTGGCACACAGTAGGGCCTTGATGAAAGTTCCCCAGCATCCGCGCATCCCTGTCCTGTCTACAGGCGGAGCAGCCAAGGCAGTGGATACGCTGCTCCTCAGAAATAGAACAGACTTGCACAGTCCTCCTCGGGAACTGGACCCTCGGGGTGTTGAACTGCTTCGCAGTAACAGGCTTCCGTCCTGGATGAAGCCCCCTGCCCTACCAGGAGCCACCCCCAGGCAGGGAAGGGAGGCGAGGTATGGCCCCTAATTTCAGAGGGACTCCAGCCTCACCTCCACCCTCCCTTGTACTTTGCCTCTTTCGAGAAGCTTCTGCATACCCCTTGGTGGGGGTGATGGGTACAAGCGTGTGTATTGATGACCCCCTTCCATGATGCTGACAACCGCACCATTTGCCTATCAGCTGGCCTGCTGGGCAGGTCCTTGGGCAGAAGGGAGGGTGGGGAAGGGGTTGGGGGTCCCTCTGAAGCAGGGGCCATACCTTGTCCCCCTTCCCTGCCCAGCAGGCCAGCTGACAGGCAAATGGTGCAGCTGTCAGAGTCACAGAGGCAAATATCAGAGGCAGAGGCTAGGCCTGCCTCCCAGGCTCCCTGCCTCTCTCTCGCCCCCACTATCTCTCTCCCTGAGACCCCCTGCCCCCAGCCCTAGGGAGAAGTTCCTTTACAAAGCATGGAGCTCATCCCCATCATAGAGGTGAGAACAGGAGGCCCACAGGAGCAGGGATGGACCCCGAGTCATTCAGCAAGGTCAGTGTCCAAGCAGGAAACGGGGATACCTGGAGGACTCGCCGAGTTGATCAGTAGGCCCTTGGGGCCACTCAGACCACAGCACACGGGTCCTCTGAGAAGGGTGCTGGCCAGCCCTCCAGCCCCATGCAGCTGCCACAGGGGAGGGGCAGGGCGTGGACCTGACACCCTACAGAAATGCATCTTCCCTCGAGATCACGCCTCAGAGTTTCAGGCTGGGTCTGGTCCCGCTTGGGTCTGGCTAAACCTTGGGCCAGGCGCCAGGAGGGCAGGGCTGAGGGTAAAACCAGGTGCCACCCAGGGCTCCATCCCGGTGGGAGACAGTCTGTCACACTCCCAGTGCCCCGAGCTTCCCCAGGAGCTCGGCAGGCCCGCCCCCTAGGTGGGTGCCCTCTCTGAGCTGATAGGATGGGAGCAGACCCAGGATGAGCAGGGGCTAAAACCGAGTCACACGTCAAGACTGCTTCCTTTCTGTGTCTCTGCCACCCCCGAGGGACCCGGCCAGGCAAGCCCACCAGAGCACAAGGGGTCCGTGGAGCAGAGCATCCCAGACAGCTGAGATTCCCCTTGGTCAGCTGACACCAGTGGACAACCAGGCACGCCAGGGAGCCTGCCAAGATCAGCAAGGCACCCTGAGCCGCCCACAGCACGTGAGACACCCTGCTAGCTTCTGCGTGATTGTTTGTTACCAGGCAGCGTAAGGCTGACAGAGCCTAACTCACCAGGAGCGCCCTCTGCTCTGAGATGCACTAGCAGACCCCGCCTCAAGTAACCGAGGCTCAGAGAGCCAAGGGGCTTACTCCAGGTGACCCCGGGAGTGGGCTCAAGTCCAGAAGCTCTGCGGGGTCCCAGCCCACCACGTGCTGGCCGGGCAGACCGCTGAGTCAGTCCCCATGTGCCCACAGGGGGTCCCTGGTCAGGGCGGGAGACATGGGGGAGCGGAGCTTTCTGTATTTGGGGGATATAAGGAGAAAGGGCCGCTGTGCCAAGCCTCAAAGGAGACTAGCTTCTGCAGCTGGAGAAGGAGGCGGCAGAGCGGGCCTCCTGGGTGGGCAATCAGCAGGAGCAAGGCGGGGCCCTCTCAGGCCACTCCGGCTGCATGGGCATCTCCACCACCACCCCACGGAGACCTGTGACCCCACAGTGCCCGTGAACTTCACCCCCTCGGAGCTGAGCTGTCCCCAACCCCCTCCATCATATCCATCAGACACCAGCCAAGGAAAACCAGCCGCATTCAGACAGCCGCCACTTGTCTGGCCCCCGTGTGCCGGGCATGCCACATTCACACCTCCTGGGCTCTCCATCAACCCCCAAGCAGAGGGTACCAGCACCTCGGCTCACAGATGAGCTCAGAGAGGGTCAGGAGTGTGCGCCCAGCACCACACAGCCTACAGGAAGTGGAGCCAGGATTTGAATCAAGCGTCTGAGATCCCAGAGACTCCAAAGGTCAAGCGACCCGTTGGATGGAAAGGCTCGGTCCTTATGGGGACAGCCTCAGCTATGGGCACCCACACCTGCCACCACCCGAGGGCCCTAGAGACGCTGTCCTCCGAGAAGTGTTTTCACTGGCCAGGGGCCAGCAGCCCAGCACCCAGCCCTCTCTGTGAGGAGTTAGCTGGCTTCGAGACTGTGGCTTATCAGCAATCATCTTTCCCCGACAGCGTGAAATTCCAAAAGCAAAGCTTTATTATACCCACAATGCCGAGGCCTGCCCCTCTGCCGCGCCCCCATTGCAGCCTAGTGCTAGAATCTTCTCCTGAGACCTGCAGACACCTCCGACTCAGCCTGTCCCCAAAGAACGAGGCAGACTCCTCTTCCCCAGAGCTCCCATCCCTCTGAGAGGCCAGGTCACCCCCAAGCACTTCTCCCAGCCTCCCCACACCCCATTCTCCCCCAGTGCCACCCCATTAACCTCTGAGCATCTCTCGTTAACCAGTGAGGGGGAGTTCTGGAATCAGACATTAGTTCTGTGTCTTTAGGCAAATCATTTCTCTGAGCCTCAGTTTTCTCATCTATAAAATGGGGGTAATAAAAGTTCCATATAGTCAAAGCTATAGTTTTTCCAGTGGTCATGTACGGATGTGAGGGTTGGACCATAAAGAAGGCAGAGTGCCGAAGAATTGATGCTTTTGAATTGTAGTGTTGCAGAAGACTCATGAGAGTCCCTTGGACAGGGAGATCAAACCAGTCCATCCTAAAGGAAATAAATGCTGAATATCCATTGGAAGATCTGGTGCTGAAGCTGAAGCTCCAATACTTTGGCCATCTGGTGTGAAGAACTGACTCATTGGAAAAGACCCTGATGTTGGGAAAGCTTGAGGGCAGAAGGAGAAGGGGACGACAGAGGATGAGATGGTTGGATGACATCACCGATTCAATGGACATGGGTTTGAGCAAACTCCAGGAGATGGTGAAGGACAGGGAAGTCTGGTGTGCTGCAGGCCATGGAGTTGCAAAGAGTTGGACACAACTGAGCCATTGAACAACAATAATGGTGGGGTTGAATGATCTGCCCATTTCACAGATGACAAGGTGGAGGCACAGAGAATTCAAGTGACTTGCCCAAGATCGGACAGCTTGGCCGTAGTAGAGTGACACAGAGAGAGGCTGCTGGGACACAGAGTTGCACAGACCCTCCTTTCCTGAGCCTTCCTGTCTCCCACCAGCTCCAAAAGGTCTCACTGAAGACTAGGGACATTTCCCATGAGCACGCCTACTCTTCCCAGGGGCCTGGCCAGGCGCGGGGGCTCCAGAAGGGTGGCCACCGAGCCTGATTCACTGGGAGCCCACTGGGAGCCTAGTGTGGACAAGGGTTTGGGGGTGGGGGTAAGGGGTCAGTACAGTTCAGGAGGGCACCCTCATCAGACAGCAGAGCTGAGACCCTCGCCACTTTATTGGCCATCTCTCAGCCTCAGCAACGCCAGGTGAGGGTCCCTCTCTGCTCTGAGCTCCTACACACTGGCAACCCTGAGTGTAGTGGCATTTAATCTGTACACAGCCCTGGGTATCTGCACCGTGGTGACCCCAGGTTCAGAGACGGAGGCTGACTGGCCTCAGAGACGGTTCTGCCAGGATGTTGACTAGTGCGTGCACACCCCTAGCTGCACATCCCGGGCAGCTGGACAGTCATTTTGTCTTCTGGACATTGGGAATCACAACCATCAGGTCTAAGTACCAGGATATTCGAGGCGAAATGGATCCGTGGCCCACGTGGAGGCTGCTGGGGTGGCCCTGGGTCCCCAGTGGGGAGTAGGTCCTTCCTCACGGTCCCACTTTTTCTTCTCCCCTCTGGTGTCCCTGCTATTCCACGGCTTCCTGCAAGAGGTTTGAGGTGCACTTCAGAACAAGGCTGGGTATAAATAGATACACCCACACGTGCCCTCGTGTAGAGTGGGCAATGCCCGGCATAAATAGCAGGGCAAATGCAATGCGGTCATGGCATCATGCACACCTCTCAGTCGAGGAAAGACAGTCGTAGAAGCAAAGCGATTGAGGCTGCCAGTCTGCTGGCTGATTGTACCCTGCCTTCTTCCAGAAAGAGTAAGAGATGGAAAGGATAGACTGACCCAAAGATGGTCTCCAGCCCGGGGGAGGGCTCAGAGCAGAGTCTGCCTCTCACATGAATGACTGGGCATCCCGACATCCCTCCAGCCCCAGGCAGGCCGCACCCATGGGCAGCCTCCCGTGTGGGCCTCGGGCAAGAAGTCACCCACCCTCCGCAGGGGGCCTGGTCTGGTACCAAGAGGCATGCAGAATGCTAAGTTGTGTCTGCGCTCAGGGAAGGAACAAGTCAGAGCTAGGCTGGGTCTGAGAGGTAGGACTGGGCCCACATATGAGGCCCCAGAGCTGGGGCCGGAAAGGGGCAGTAGAGAGACAGGCTGGGAGCAGGTTCCATTGAGCAGGGGGGTCTCAACAGCCCCAGAGCATATTGAGACCCCAGCTCCAGCGCAGCATCCAGGGGAGCACCCATAGGCCCTCCTTGAATCTTCTGGGATCGTGGAGGCATAGCACAGGGAAGGCGGTGGAAAGCAGCCACCCAATCCCCATGCAATTCACAATGCAGCTGCAGGGAGGGCGGGACACGCCCAGGTCACCCACTAGGGAGCCGGGGCCTCACCTCCGGGCCTTCCCCTCTCTTTGGCCAGGAGCCCCAGACCTCCCCCAGCTTGGGAACACTGCCAACAGCAGCTCCATCCAGGCCCCAGGGCCCCAACAAGCTCTCCTGGCCCGTCTCCCAGGCTGCCAACCACCCCAGAGCCCCGCCGGCAGCTCCCAGGAAGGTGGCCGGCTGGAGCATGTCCTGTGAAGACGGACAGAGACGAGCATGTCCTGTGAAGACGGACAGAGACCTGCTGGGTCAAAGACACCTCTAAGACCCCTAAGCCTGGAAACCGCTGAGCCTGCAGCCACCACCCAGCAGCAGTACATCCACCCTGTTGAGCCAAACCAAGCCGAGAGTCGGAAGAGGTCAAGTCAGAAAGAAGAAAATGGTCCTTAAAGCAAAAGAAAAAGGTGAGCACAACCCTCCCCACCCACCACCCCCGTAGGAGGACTCCCAGGAAGGGAAGGCAGGCGGGTCAGCGGCCAGGGGGAACGGGTGGATTCACCAGAAGCTCCACCCGAAGGGGACCTCCCAGGGACTGTGTGTGCGCCCCCCACCCCCGCCCCCGTCCCGGGTCCTCCTCGAACACCTCACTCTGCCCAGCCTCGGACACGCCCTACCTCGCTCAGGGCTGCCCGCCAGCGTGCAGAAGGGCAGGATGAAATATTTGGAAGTTAGACGTTTCCAATGAGTCCACACTGCACTCCGGTAGCTGGTTTCACAAAGGTTTATTGGATTCCTCGGGGGCGTGGGGGCGGGGGGGCAGGCTCCTCGCTGCGGAGGATCCGGGCTGGACCGGCCTGGGAGAGGCAGGGTCTGGGCAGTAGCCGACGCGAGACCAGTGGTGAGAAGTGCCCGGCCCTCTGCCACGAGGAGGGAGACGGTGGGGGTGGAGCAGGCCGGACCCAAGGGAAAGTGCAGGCCGAGGAGAAGGGCTGGGGGTCCCAGGGGAGGGAGGAGGCAGAGGGAATAGCATTCGCAGCGGCTCAGAGGCAGGACAACCTCTGGGATTCCCCCAGGGCCCCAGGAGGCCCGGGGAGGGGCCTGGGGAAATGGAGGGCTGGGGCCTCTGGTCACCGGGAGGCTGGGCAAGTGCACAGAACACACCTGCCGCTCTTCGACATGCTTGGCCAGGTGTTCCGGCTGCCCCTGCTCCCCCCCTGAAGCCCCAGGGGGGCCCTCCTGCAGGGGGGGCCTGACCACCCCACAGGGAGTCTCAGCATCCATCTCTCTGACAGCTGGCATCTGTGTTACCTGGAGGGAGACACAGGCCGTCCCCGTCCCCTGGGGAGTGGGGACGTCCTCCCAGCCCTGCCCGGGGGCCCAGCCACGTGCCCCTGCCCCTCCCCCCATCCAAGTTGCTCCTGGACACCCCGGGGACCCAGGCCACCTCGTCCTTCCCTTTCTTTCCCCGGCCCGCCCCCTTCTGGAGCTGCCGCAGGGCAGGCAGGAAAGAGCCGGTCGCCAGCCAGCCCACTGGCATGGGCACAGCTCAGGCTCCAATGCTGATCCCCCAGGGCCCACAGCCGGGATCTTCCAGGTCCCAGGTAAGACTTGGCCTCGGGCAGGGCAAGTCGGGACAGGACGCGGGCAGCTGGGAGGAAGCGGCCTGAGGGGGCGGGGAAGGGGGCAGGGGCTGCTTGGGAGGGAAGAGGGTTTAGGAGAGGAAAGAGAGAGGGAGGGAGGATCGAGCAGAGGCACAGAGCCTGCGTCCCAAAGGCCACTTGGAGCTCAGGCCTGTCCTCACCTGCACAAGGCGCTGTGGGAGCCGGATGGTCCAACGTCCCGGAATCCCGAGAGGCGGGGTGGAGCCGGCCGGCCCAAGGACAGAAGCAGATCCGCCAGAACAGCTGACAGTCCTGAGAACAAGCGCTGCTCACCTGAGCCTCCCTGGGGCCGGAGGGGCCTGTGGGTCGGTGGTCTCCCTGGGTGGCCTGCAGAGGCTCCAGAGGGACCAGCCTTACCTGTGCTTCAGGCCACTCCCCCCGCCCCCCCTGCCGCTGCCACCACTTCCCAGGAGGCGCCCAAGGCCCTCCCAGCAAGGCGGTGTCCCTGAGGCCTGGGGCACCGGCACTGGCTTTTTGATTTTCTGAGACTAAATGTGGGAAGGGGGTAGGGAGGATTGCCCCATGGCCCTGGCCCAGGTCCTGAGTATGGTGGGGACAGGGCACAGGTCTGAGACTGTCACCTCCCAGAAATTCAGGAATCAGGGCTGGAGAGTCTCTCCAACAAAAGTTGGGACTCCCAGGACCCCTGCCCAGGAGGGGGCAAACTCAGGGCCCCAAAACGCCCTTCAGAGACTAGCCAAGTAGAAGGCTTCTCTTCTCTTCTTCCCCCAGCCATCACCCCGATCCCCCTGGCTGCCGCAAAAAATAAGTCAAGGAACCACCGATTTGCCAGCTCAGAGATGCTCTGCGGGGGTTGGAGGAGCAGGCAAGGGGGAGGCCCCCCACCCAGGTTTTGGGATCAGGGAGAATCCCCTAACTCACCTGAAGACCCCCACCCACGGTGCTGATGGGCAGTGCGGGGGCGGGGGGCGCTGAGAAGAGCGGGGACCGGGATGAAGCGGCCTTTCCTCTGGGTGGGAAGTCCCCGGCTCGGCAGCACCCAACGCCGCCGCCCCAGGCCGCAGGCACATCGCCTGGCTGAGAGAAGGGAAAAAGGGTCTACCTTCAGGCCCCTGGCCTGCTTTCCACTCGGGGTCTTGACCTGCCGGAGCCGCGGTCCCAGGTGGGAGTTTACAGGGCAGAGGGTCCCGCCAGAGTCGCGAAAACGGGAGGAGACGACCTCTGCCCAAGACGCGCATCTCTCTCGGCGCCCGCTGGGGCCCGCCGGGTCCTGGGTGGGGGCTCGGTGCCCTAGGTTGACTGCCGGAGACTTGTTCCCTCGCCGCCGCCGCCGCCGCCGCCGCCGCCGAGAGCGGTGCCCTCACTGGATCCGGATCAGCGAGCTTCCACCTCTGCCCGGGATGCGAGCGCTGTGTCCGTCCCGGGAAGAAGTTAGGCGGCCGGTCCCCAGGCGGGTAGCGAGCGCACGGGACGCCGGCGGTGCGGCGCCGTACTCCGGCTCAGCCACCGCCGCCCCAGACGAGTCCCCGTGACCGCGAGAGCGTCCCGGGAGGGCTGGGCTCCTCCAGCGTCCAGATCGCTCTCGAACCGGTTCAGGCCTCGCCCCGGGGGTCAAAGAGGCCCGAGACTAGGCGACCTGGCTCCCGGCTTCGGGGACCCCCCAGGTCAAGATACTCCGCGCCCCGCAGCCCCAAGTCGCCAGCCCCGCGCCGCGCGCAGCGAGTCATCAGAAGATCTCGGACGCGGCGGCAGAGTCTACCAGGGCCCCCACGGAGTTGGGGAGTTACCCCGCACCCCTAAAAGCCTCCACACACATTCCCCCGTTGAGAGTACGCACTTCCCAGCGTCCCAGCGCCTCGGCGGTGAGTCGAGCCGCAGCGCTCTGGGTCGGCGAAGGTGGCTCAGCGCGGGCGCTCCAGTCCCGACGTTCCCGGGGCAAAGAGCGACGTCCGGGGACGCACGGGACGGGTGCGCCCGGCGGCCGGGGCTGCGCCGGCCGAGGCGAGCGGTGAGAGGGGAGCGCTCCGGCGTTCAGGCAACAGCTACCCCTAGTGGGAGAGCCGCCCGGGGCCGCTGCCGCCCCGCGCCCGCCGCCCCGCGCCCGCCGCGCCCAGCGCCCGGAGCGCTCCCGGCTCGGCTGGGGCGCAAGGACGGCGCTGCCTTCCCCGGGCCTCCGCGCCTCTGGCGCCGGTCGCCAACCCGCCCGCTAGCCCTGCCCTCCTTACCTCCCCGCCGGGACCCGGAGGCCGCTGACCCGAGAGCTGCGGCGCAGAGCCGGGGCGCGATGGGACGGGGCGGGCGCGGTCCGCACGGCGCGCGGCGGCCTCGGGCGACGGCGGGGGGCGCCGAGCGCGGTGTGCGTGGCGGGGCGGTGCGGGGGGCGGCCGTGTGCGAGGCGCGAGTGTGAGCGCGCGCGGGAGGCGGGCGGGCTCCGGGAGGCGAGCGGCGCCCGCGGGCGAACGCGGCAAGCGGCGGGGGCCCAAAGTTGCCTCCTTGCGGGCCAGCGTCCCCAGCGGGGCGGGAGCCGGGGCCAGCGAAGCGGCGGCCGCCGACCCAGGCTCCGGCGGCACCTGGGCAGCGGCCCCGCACGAGCATCAGCGGCGGGGGCGGCGTTGGCGGCGGCGCGCGGGAAGCGAACCGGAGCTCCGGCGCGGCGCGGCTGTCCGCCGGGGATCTCCGCTCAGGTGCGCGGCGAGGGGCGAGCGCGGGCCGGGGCCGGGACGCCGGGATCGGGGCCAGCTTCGTGCCTGCGCTAGCCGGAGGGCCTACGCCGCGGACTCCCGGGTCCCTGGTTCAGCTATCTGACCCGCGCCGCCGCCGAGGTCCTGATCGCCCGTCCGGGCAAGCGGGCTTCGGGGCCCAACCCCGCCCCTCCGGCCCCCGGGCCGGGCCGCCCCGCCTTCCAGCCGCCGGTGCCCGCCCTCGGCCGGCGATTTCTAAGGCCCTGGCCGCGCCGCGGGGTGATCCCTTCGGGCTCAAGTTGCAAGGGGGCGGGCCCCGGCCGGAGGTGGAGTCTCCCGCCAATTGATGCCTCGGCTATAAATTGAGCTCTCCGCACAGCCGAAGCCCAGATGCCTCGCCAGGCCGCCCCGCGGTGGGTGGTGGGGGAAAGTAGGGGGTCCCAGGGGGTTCTGGGCGGCGCCGCCACCATGCTGCGCTCCCTGCTGCTCCACTCCCTGAGGCTCTGCTCGCAGACGGCCTCGTGCCTCGTGCTCTTCCCGCGCTTCCTGGGCACGGCCTTCATGCTCTGGCTGCTAGATTTCCTGTGTATCCGCAAGCATTTACTGGGCCGTCGGCGCCGGGGTCAGCCGGAAACCGAAGTGGAGCTAAACAGCGACGGCGAGGAGGCGCCCCCCGACGACCCGCCTGTCTGCGTGTCCGACGACAACCGCCTATGCACCTTGGCGTCGCTGAGGGCCGTCTGGCACGGCCAGAAGTTGGATTTCTTCAAGCAGGCGCATGAAGGCGGGCCGGCGCCCAACTCTGAGGTGGTCCTGCCCGACGGCTTCCAGAACCAGCACATCCTCGACTACGCCCGAGGAAACCGCCCGCTGGTGCTCAACTTCGGCAGCTGCACCTGACCACCGTTCATGGCGCGTATGAGCGCCTTCCAGCGCCTGGTCACCAAGTATCAGCGCGATGTCGACTTCCTCATCATCTACATCGAGGAAGCGCACCCTTCCGACGGCTGGGTCACCACAGACTCTCCCTATAGCATCCCGCAACACCGAAGCCTGGAGGACCGGGTCAGCGCCGCGCGCGTACTGCAGCAAGGGGCTCCAGAATGCGCCCTCGTGCTCGACACGATGACCAACTCCAGCAGCTCGGCCTACGGCGCCTACTTCGAGCGCCTCTACATCATCCAGAGTGGCACCGTTATGTACCAGGGTGGCCGCGGCCCCGACGGCTACCAGGTCTCCGAGCTGCGCTCCTGGCTGGAGCGCTATGATGAGCAGCTGCACGGCCCTCGACCCCGTCGAGTGTAAACCACCAGTGGACACGTGACTGAACTTGGCGGGCCATGCCTTCGAGCCTTCGAAGGCCACGTGCAAACAACCCGCAGACACAGTCAGGTTTGGCAGTGGGCTGAGCCATGCATCGCCGTCTGAGTCTGCCCTCTCAGCCAGGTCACCTGAAGACTCTCTTGCACCTCCCCAGACTCTGCTTTCGACTGTCCCTCGCCTGTACTTGCTTGGCTTGCTCTAAATCCCCTTCTGAGGGTGGAGGCAGCACCGCCCTTGCCCGTGTGCCCCTGGACTTGTGCTCGCAGAGGCCCCCTGCCACGGCTCTCACACACCCTCCCCAGAAGAGAAGAGCCAGCGTGCCTTGAACCAGGCGCGCTGGCCCGGCGCAAAGGGACTTAAGCTGCGCCCGCGCGCCCTGGGCGCAGCTGGGTTCCAGCAGCGCGAGCCGCTCGCCTTAGTTGCCTGGCACCCACACCTGTCGCGCGCGCGCGCGCAGGCGCGCGCGGGGAAGGGATGCCCTGCTGCTTTTGTGTCTATGTCTTGTTCCTGCCTCGGGGGAGGATGCTTAGGGTGGGGAAGGGTGGGCAGGGTTATTTCCCCCCCTTATTTTGGGTGCTCGCGAGCCCCACTGCTGATGACGAGCTGTCTCTAACTGGCCTCGACCACGAGCTGGTTCTGATTTGTAGGAGGCACGCAGTAGCACCTAAGACAAGAGGGGAAAGTGCTCTGGGTTTCCATGAGGAAACCAATCAGCGGGTGGGAGAGGGAGGTTGGGGGGCTGCTTAGGGACAAAGGAAGACCGTTTAGGAGGCGGGGTTCACGGCGCCCCGGGCAGAGGGAAGGGGCCGGGGCTCCTGCGACCCGGGGTTCGAGTGGTGGAGTCCGGAGAAGAGAGATGAAGGGAGAGCCTGGGAGCCCCGAAAGAGGGGTCTCCCAAGCAGAGCTGCCGACTGCGGGGCCGGAAGTGTGTGGGGGGGGGCTGATGTGAAGGCTATTTAGTGAGTGTTTTGCTGGAAACGTTCCCTGTATATAAACTTCTTTTACACTACAATAATAAAGGCTTGAAGTAAATTGCTTTCGGGTTGCCTTTGGTCCCTTTTTTTTCTTCCCTCTGAATAGCGGCAAGAATTAAACACAAATCTCTCCCTCGCGTCCCCATAGTGACCCTGGGGGGAAGGGTGGAGAGAAAAAGCCTCCGCCAGCGGGGTTGCGGGAGGGGATGGAAGAAGGAAAGAGGGGGTCTGTGCCGATGCCCCGGATGCGCACAGGCCCGGGGTGGAGGACGCGAGGTGATGAGAAGAGCGGAGATGTGGAGCCTGGCGGGGTCCCCAGGGAGGCGGGAGAGGCGGCGGGGCCCGCACTTGCTGGCTCGCGCGCGTGCACACACACACACGCAAGCTGTGACAGCTGACCCTGCAGCCGCCCATCTAACTTCTCCCGGCGACCGTCGGTGTGGAGGCGGGGGGGGGGGGGGGGGACGGAGCGAGGCAGGGCCCGGGGGCTTTGGACCAGGTTGGTCTGGGCTCCCGCCCACCACGGGCGCTTCAGCACACCTGGCTCCTCCCTAAGCCACTTCCAGCACCTCCTTGCTTCCTCGCGCGCTCTTCAAACCCGCAAAATCGTCTCCCCCACCCCTCCGATCCCCGCCGGTCTGCTGGGGGTGTCCCCCCGGGAGGCGCCACCGAAAAGCGCAAGGGGGGGCGGGGGGGGGCATGGCGACCAGGGAGGGAGAGGCGGCCTGCAGCGCCATCACTCCAGCAGCAGCTCTTACCGCGAGGTGGGGGCGGCTGGAGGGCGCCCCCCACCTCCCCGCCCAGAACACCCCCTCCTCCGCTTTTCCAAGTTCGAGCCAAACCTCATCACCACCCCTCCAAGGCTCTCAGGGCTGGGAAGCGGAGGAGAGCGAGGTGGCCGAACCGAGAGAGACGAGAGAGGGATGGCGGTGGCCGGCACCCGGGCTGGAAGAGGAGCGGGTCTTGGCGTTTGGCACAGAGCCCCCCGCCCCTCGCAGTCCCGGCCCCCCACCCACCCACCCAGGCATGCACACCCGCCAGCTCGCGCGTCGCTCGCTAGGTGAGGACGACGCCGGGAGAGCGAGGTTAGCTGGCCTCCGCCTCTGTACTGGTGACGCCTTGAGCAGAACAGTGGGTGGGGGGCGGGAGAAACAGAAAGGAGAGCAGAGGCGGGAGCCCGGGGACCAGGAGTCGGGGGAGCCGAGCCGCCGCACTTCCCCAGCCCGGGGACCCAGGACAATCCCAGGCCCGGGATCGGGAGGCGGGGGTTGGGGGGGGCGGTTTCTGTGAGCGCCTGGGTGTCAGTGCGCGCGCACGTGAAGGGGGAGCCGGGGAAGGTCGGGGGTGGGGGGCTCTGCGGGACCGAGTGTCCAAGCAGGCCGGAGGCAGGACGGACCCCCAGCTCCACCTACGCCGCCTCCAGTCCTGCGCCCAGCCCCCACGCCGCTCCTCCATGAAACTTTTTGAAACTGACACCCTGAGCTGAGATTTTTTTTCTTTTTTTTTTCTTTAAAAGTATTTACATTGAAAAAGGTACTTTTAAGAAAAAAGAAAAAATTGGCACAGATGGTGTTTCTGCGTCTCCTCCCATCCCCCTCCTGCGCTCTTCGTCTCACCCCGAAACCCCCGAGAAGAATACTGAGCCAGCGGCGGGGTTGCGGGGTGAGCTCTGGCGCGCGCGGCCGGGAGGAAGCTCAGGGAGACCCCGGACGGCTGGGTGCCGCCGCAGGGCCCCACTGCGGGCCGGGGTCGTTCCCGGCCCCGGTCCTCCACCGGGGATCTAGTTGGAGGCGCTGAGCGCGCTACCCTCCCGGTGAAGGCTGCGCGCTCCCCTCAGAGCCTCCTCCGGCTTCTGGGACCAAAACCCCAAGCGCGCGGCGCTGGGACCTGCGGCTCTTGCCTCGGCCCGCGCGGCCTGGCGCGCTCGCCTGTCCTGAGCGCCCCAGCATCCACCCCTTCCTCCTTTCTCTTCTCTGGCCTCCCTGTCTCCCTTCATGCCCCTCATCTTTGCGTTTCCTTCTTGCTTTTCCCTTTCCCTCCTTTCCTTGTCCCTTTCTTTTCTCCCATGTCCTTTAAAATCTCCCCTTCCTACAAAAAGAGCGCACGCTCATTGCCAAAAACACAGAGTCAACCCAAGAAGAGTCAACCCTAGGTAACCTCCCGGTGTATGCACTTTCTAACTTGCCTCTCCCATTCACCCACCCTTGTAAAACCAGAGAGGGATTATCCTTTTATAGGTTGGCATTAACTTTTGACTCCCTGGCACCTCTCTCTCCACGAACCCTCCCCCTTTCCACGTCAGTAAATGAGTATTGGGTGAACCCAGGCAAAGGATGCCTCCATGGGCACCCCAGGTGTCAGGGATGTTTTTTCATTTTATAAATATTCTTCATAAGGTGCTCAGGGCTCTACACCACTCTGCCCCACGAGCATATTTCTTAAAGTGAAATTGCTAGAAACACGCATGTCTGTGTCTGTTTTGCCACATTTGGCTAAACTGCCTTCCCGACAACCTATTTGATTTTATTGTTTTGTATTTTCCCAGTGCTCTCTCTCTCTCTTCCTTATTTTGAGCTGAAAGATATGAAGATAAGACATAAATGCATTTTCAATATTAAATTTTAAATACAGGAGAACATAAAGCACAAAGTGTCAGGCTTGCTTAGAGCAGGCGGTCTCAAACTGCATTTCAGATTCCACCGGTGGCTCATGAAATCAACTTACCAGATCAAGTCAGGCATCTTGAAGGACTGAAATGGAAGACATGCAATGTAAATACCAATGTGCATGTCACCTGAGGTAACTGTGGCTTCCTGAAACCTGTGTGTGTGTGTGTGTGTGTGTGTGTGTGTGTGTGTGTGAGGCCCCCCTCCTCCGGACCACCCCTGTGGACTGTTTCCTGTGCTTCCTTCCGGCTCCACTTCACCTGTTGTCAGCCCCACCTGAGCACAACCTCAGCTCTAGTATCCCTCTCGCTGTCATTGGGATCACGCCCACCCGCCCCCACACAGTTTTCCTATCCTGGCACCCTCTGCCTGGCCATCCATCTAGTCTGAGCAGGTCTCTGCCTGTGGAGTAACTGGTGCCAGGCACCATCCGGATGTCTGAGTGCCCCCCCGCCCACCCCCAGAAGGAACTCATCTCTGCCTTCAAGGAATGCTCAGAGCAGTGGGGAGGAGAGGAAGGAGACAGTCATTAACCATCACCAGCCTCCTCATCATTAGTATTTTCAAGGTCCATGTCAGCTTAGCACATGGTTTAACCCTAAGCAGGGAAGGGGGGCCATGATGAAAGTTCTAGAGGGTCTTATTTACCCCCTTGAAGACACAAATTCCTCCTAGAAGACGGTAAAGGAAGGGCATCCTTGGTGGAGGGTACTGCCAGTGCAAAGCCACGGAGGCCTAAAAAGTGCAAATTGTGTTCAGAACACAATACCTCTTGGTATTTACCGGAAGGAAATAAGCTGTGGGGCCAAGGGCTAGGTAAGTACCAACAGGTCCATGGCATCCTGTTTATATTACTCAGGCATCCATCTGCAGAGAAGTGGCTTTCCCAGAGGTGGCCTCCCCGACGTGTGACAGGGAGAGGCGACGTCTGAGTGTTTGATCTAGGGGCCAGGCACCGGGCTAAGGGCGTCATCAGAATTATTTGATCTGGTCATCCTCATCTCCCTCTTGTGTCCGACTCTTTGCAACCCCATGGACTGTAGCCTACAAGGCTCCTCCATCCATGGGATTCTCCAGGCAAGAACACTGGAGTGGGTTGCCACTTCCTTCTCCAGGAGATCTTCCAGACCCAGGGATTGAACCCGGGTCTCCCGCATTGTAGGCGGATGCCTTTACCATCTGAGCCACCAGGTAAGATTTCACAAAGAATGTTTATTTATTTATTTGGCTGTGCTGGGTCTTCACTGCCCTGTGGCTTTTCTCTAGCTGCAGAGAGCAGGGGCTGCTCGCTAGGTGCAGGGGCTACGCTTCCTACTGCGGTGGCCCCGCTTGTTGCAGAGGACGGGCTCTCGGATACTCAGGCTTCAGTTGCTGCGGCTCCCAGGCCCTAGAGCACAGGCTCAGGAGTTGTTCGATCGTTAGCCCCATTTCAGTGATGAAGACATTGAGACTTGGCGTGGTTGAAGCAGGTTGGCCCAATGTGTTATGGGCTGAACTGTGTCGACCGCCAAAAGTCATATGCTCCAGTCCTGGCCCTAGTCCCTCAGAATGTGACCTTGTTTGAAGACAGGATCTTTAAAGAGGTTATAAGTGAGCATGGGCTTCCCTTGTGGTTCAGACAGTAAAGAATCCACCTGCAACATAGGAGAGCCGGGTCCAATCCCTGGGTCAGGAAGATCTCCTGGAGAAGGAAGTGGCAACCCGCTCCGGTACTCTTGCCTGGAGAATCCCATGGACAGAGGAGCCTGGTGGGCCACAGTCCATGGGGCCGCGAAGAGTCAGACACGACTGAGCCACTCACACTGACCCCAGTTAGTACGGGGTCATTGGAGTGGGCCCTCCTCTGATCTGACCGGTATGCGAAGAGGAGGTGGGGACACAGACACGCCCAGGGAGGACAGAGAGAGAGGACTTCCATCGTAAAGCCGAGTGAAGAGGCCTCAGGAGAAACCAGCTCCGCTGGTAACCTTCGTCCCAGACTGACAGCCTTCAGAACCGTCAGGAGCGTAGATTCCCGTCCAGTCTGCGGTGCTTGGTGATAGTGGCCCTAGACATGACAGGCAAGGCTGTGGACTAGAAAGCGGCTTTGCCCACCGGCCTCCCTGACCCTGGGGTCTGACATCAGGCTACACAGAGTCCCTCTCTCGGTGGCTAAATGATCCAGGACCTTGACCCTCCCCACGCACACCATTTCTTCCCTCTGCAGTGACAGGAACACAAAGCTCTCGTAGGACAGCAGGTCTGAATTGGGCTCTTTTTTTAATATCTGCAGAGAAACACACGCATGCAGCTCTGGAAAAATCTCCCCCAAGGAATTCACAGTAGCTGTCTCTGTGTGGGCGAGATTATGAGTGTTTTCTTACTTTCTTCTTGTTGCTTGTCTGGAGCCTGTGATTTTTCTGTAGTGAACATGTATTGCTCTTATGACAGAAAAATAGGATTTAAAGCAGCAAAAACAGTGGCTGTAGCGAGGAGAAACCCAGAGGTCAGGGCATTGAGGGATTCTGGGTGGAGACAGGAAGTCCTGGACCAGACCCAGGTTGGGGAGGCGGGGGCGCTGGGAGGATGGGGGGTGCTGAGAAAAGAAACATTTGAGAGGGAGAAAGGGGATGGGGTTGCTGAATAAAGGACATCAGTTAATTTGAATTTCAGGTAAACAACAAATAATGTTTTAGTAAAAGTATGTACCAAATAATGCATGGATATACTTATACTAAAAAATATTATTCATTGTCTATCTGAAGTTCAAATTTAACTGGACCTCCTGGGTTGGTTGTTTTTCTAAATTTGACAGCCCTGGGACTTCCTCAGTGGTCCACTGGTTAAACCTTCATGGTCCCAATGCAGAGGGCATGGGTTCTAAGATCCTGCATGTGGCACAATGCAGTCAAATAATCATTTTTAGGACTTCCCTGTTGGTCTGCCTGCCAATGCAGGGGACACGGGTTCCATGCCTGGTCTGGGAAGATCCCACAGGCCATGGAGCTGCTAAGCCCATGTGCCACAACTACCGAAGCCTGTGGGCTGCAACTACTGAAGCCCAAGCACCCTAGGGCCCTTGTTCCACAGCAAGAGAACCCACTGCAGTGAGAAGCCCCCACACCGCAATGAAGGGCAGCCCTCACCCGCCGAAGCTAGAAAAAGCCTGCATGCAGCCAAAAGGACCCAGTGCAGCCGAAAGTAAAATAAGTGAGTAAATCTTAAAAAATAGTAATACAATCATATTTCTTTAAATAAACTTAAAAAAAAAATGAACTTGACAGTCCTGGGGGAGGGAAGTGGTGACAATGATGCTGACAACAACGCAGTCTCTCCAGGCCAGTCAGGGGCAGACTCAGAGCTCAAAAGACTGTGGGTGAAACTGTGGTCTCTGAGATCTGGAGTTCCACCTTCCACAGCCAGCTGGGGCCTCTGTGACCAGTCAGAGGCCCCCAGATTCCCCACATACCTGGCGACCTGGAGCCGGAAGAAAGGACCATCAGTTTCTCCAGCTGGGTCATCTGCAGGGCCCGGAGCGAAAGGAAAATGCAGAACCCTTCGTTCAAAATGCAGGAAGCTTCGTACCAGTCATTCTGTCGCTCAGTCATGTCTGACTCTCTGCTTCCCCATCCTTCACTGTCTCCTGGAGTTAAGGTACAAAATAAAAGGCTGTTTCCTTTCTTCTCTGGCACCTCACCTTGCGGTGTTTATGTGTTACTTAATGTCATGATCAGTAAAGAAAAATTAGCGTTTTGAATTGTGTGTTATCCAGGTTCTCCAGAGGAACACAGCCAAGGGGAGAGGGAGAGAGATTTAACTGTAACGAATTGGCTGATGTGATCATGGAGGCTGAGAAGTCCACAATTTACCGCAAGCAAGCCAGAGACCAGGAGAGCCAGTCATGTGCTAAGTTCCAGTCCAAATTCGAAGGTTCAAGACCCAGGAGAGCTGATGGTGTAAGTCCTGGGGTGAGTGTGGGGATTCTGAAGGCAGAAGACGGATGTTCCAGCCCCAAGACAGTCATGCAGAACGAGAGGATTCTCCCTCCCTCCATCCCTTAAGTCCTGGTCAAGCCCCCAACTAATCCGACAAGGCTCACCCACATTGGGAGAGCAATCTGCTTTTCTCAGTCCATTCAGATTCCATTGTTACCCCCATCCAGATACACCCCACAGACTCACCCGGAATCATGTTTGACCAAATGACTGGACACGCCACAGCCCTGTCAAGTTGACTGATAAAGCTGACCTTTTCAAATTTTAAGCATGAATTTTACCATTCATTTTTCCAGTTTTAAATGCAAGTATCAGAGCACTTGGGGTTTCACAGGTGGTAAAGAACCCGCCTGCCAATGCAGGAGACATAAGAGACAAGGTTTGATCCCTGGATTGGGAAGATGCCCTGGAGGAGGGACCCACTCCAGTATCCTTGCCTGGAGAATCCCATGGACAGAGGAGCCTGGCGGGCTATGGTCCATAGGGTCACAAAAGAGTCAAACACAACTGAAGTGACTTAGCATGCATGTACCCACAAGAGCATTTAATTCGTAACACACAAGCACGAAATACCCTTCTCCAGGGGATCGTCCCAATCCAGGGATCAAACCCAGGTATCCTTCTTTGCAGGCAGATTCTTTACCATCTGAGCCACCAGGGACGCCCTCTTTCACGTCCACGTGTGTGTTAGTGGCTGAGTGGTGTCCGACTCTTTGGGACCCCACGGTCTGCAGCCCGCCAGGCTTCTCTGTTCATAGGATTTCCTAGGCAAGAATCCTGGAGTGGGTTGCCATTCCCTCCTCCAAGGGATCTTCCTAACCTAGGGATTGAACCTGGGTCTGCTGCTTTGCAGGCAGATTCTTTACCATCTGAGCCACTTAGGAGGGCCTCTTTCACTTTCGTAAGAGCACTAATCCACAACACACAGTCACTACAATTACACAGTTCGTATTTCGTAGCTCAGACCTGTACCTGAGTTTCATCCTCGCCCACTCAGTAGAAATACCGAGCAAAACTGACTCAGCAGTTTCCATCCTGCTTCGTGCCTCGTGTTTGAAGGACAGGCTACCCCTGAGAAAAGCGGGGTGGCGGGGAGCGGAGCTGTGGGTGATGCCCGATCGCCCACTCCCCTCCAGGCCATCATTTTCAGGGCAAGTGGTCCACGGCTACCAAACACACGTACCAGCATCCTCCTTGCTCTGAGTGCAACTCTGCCCCCCGGGTGCTGCGGGGCCCTGAGAACCTCCGCTCCCTGCATCACGAATGCCACGTGGGAACTTGGCAGCAAGAAGCGGGGGGTGGTACTATCTCCTCTGCTCACCCACGCTCCCCAGTCCCTTCCAGTTCCACTGACAGTCAATATCTTGAATAATGTATAATGGAAAATAATTTCAAAAATAATATATGTGTATACCTATAACTGAATCACCTTAGTGTGCACCTGAAACCTTGTAAGTCAACTGTACTTCAATAAAATAGATATATATTAAGAAAAAAACACAACGCAAAGACAAAAATGACTAAGAATTTCAGCTTGTATCTTTTTGTAGATTTCATTTGTAAGTGATGTCATATGATATTTGTCTCTGTCTGACTTACTTCAGTTAGTCTGATCATCTCTAGGTCCATCCAGATTGCTGCAAATGACATGATTTCATTCTTTTTAAAGGCTGAGTAATATTCCGTTGTGTATATATGTGTATATGTCTGTATACATATCACATCTTCTTTAACCATTTTGTCAATGGATATTTCCATGTTTTGGCCATTGTAAATCATGCTGCAATGAACACTGGGGTGCATGAGTCTTTTTGAATTATGATCTTTTTCCAGATATGTGCCCAGGAGTGGAATTACTAGGTTGTATGATAGTTGTATTTTTAGTTTTTTGAGGAATCACTGTACTGTTTTCCACAGTGGCTGTACCAATTTACATCCCCACCAGGAGTGTCGGAGAGTTCCCTTCCCTCCACACCTTCTCCAGCATTTATTATTTGTAAACATTTTGATGATGGCCATCTGACTAGTGTGAGGTGACACTTCATTGTGGGTACCACTTATTTACAAAATAGAAATGACATAGAAAGCAAATTTATGGTTACCAAAGAGGAAGGGGGAGGAGGGCTAAATTAAGAGTTTGGGATTAACAGATACATACTACCATGTACAGAATAAGTAAACAGTAAGGACCTACTGTATAAATCAGGTAACTACATTCAATATCTTGTAATATACTATAATGGAAAGAGTCTGAAATATATATGTATATATTCATCTATGTATACTAATCACTATACTAATCACTGAATCACTTTGCTATACACCTGAAACTAACACAACATTGTAAGTCATCTACACTTCAATTTTAAAAAATAAAAAGAACTTCCAGACGGTGACCACAGAGCATTGAATCCAGTGAATTCAGTGTGGGACCCTTTGAGAAAGGGGGCCCTGCCCAGGACCTGCGCCCAGGGAGTGGATCCCAACGGCCAGAGTAAAGGGCTCTGAGACCCTCCGGGCCAGCCTCCTCATTGCACCCCAGCCCAGACCTGTACATGCTCAGACACACAAGCCACATGCCCACACTCAGACACACAAGCCGTGGGTCCCAGGAGGAGGGTTGGCTGTTCGGGGTATAGCACAGTGGACCAAGTTATAGTTGTTGCCAGTTCTCCGGGAGGAGAGTGGAGCTGGTTGAGGTTAGGTAACATCCTGGGGACACACACTTTTGATCCCCCTGCACTTGGCCACCTCTCCGGGGACCAGCCCTATTTGGTATTTGCTCACCCCAGGCCGGGCGCTGTGAAGATGGCAAGTGGATACCTGCCATCACGCTGTGCTAGGACCCTGCTGGCTCAGGGAGGCCTCGGGTTGAGGCAGAGCTGGGTGGTTGGGGAGGGGTGTCAGGGCAGGGGGAGGAAACTGTGCAAAGGCCAGGAAACAGCACAGTCCCTCGCTCAGCCAGAAACGCAGGGCAGGTGTGTGTGAGAGTGTGTGCAAGGGTGTACCACGCACCTCCACTCTCAAGACCCTCAGCGAGCCCCCCTGTATGAGGCCTGTACGAGGCCCAGGGGGGGCCTAGCCCCACCCTTACAAAGCCATCAGGTCAGTGGGGGAAACAGAAACCAACAACCAGAACTGAAAGCCTGGGAGGCAGGAAGCTCAAGGTGGGAGACCAAGGAGGGCTGCCTGGAGGAGGAGTATCATGAAGGACTGGGAGCTCAGGTGGTAGCTCTGGGACAGGAAAAAGCGCCAAGCCTGGGCAGCGAGGACCAGCTGGCAGGTTTGGGCAAAGGCAGCAAAATCCTCAAAGCCAGGAAGGCGCAGGCAGGGATGAAAGCGAGGCTGGAAGGCCCTTTGTGGCACTGATGCTTTACCCTGAGGCCCTGGGGAGGGACAGGGAAGTGTCACGTGGTGGGCAGAGGGGCTGGGGGACAAGCCTCCATCCAGGCCCAGGGCTTGGGATGGCTGTCTTTGGAAAAGCATCCCGGCACAACCACGGGAACAGAATAGAGCAGCTTACAACGTGATCAAAAAAAAAGTAAGACCACAACCCAGGAGAGACCAACACACCCCAGAACCCAGAGAGAGGCTAGCGCCCTGGGGGGGCATGGCATACACTACAGGGCTGTCTGCAGTCAGTGGGTCCTCAGGACTGTCCATGGGATTCTCCAAGCAAGAACACTGAAGTGGCTTGCCATGTCCTCCGGGGGATCTTCCCCACCCAGGGATCGAACCCCCGTCTCCTGTGTCTCCTGCATCGGCAGGTGGGTTCTCTACCGTTGAGTCACCTGGGGAGCCCGTCCCTGTTCTGCCCCTGCACAAAAATAAGTTGCCCGTGGGCCAAAGAGCAGCAGAGAAAGCAAAGAGTTACACTTTCAGAAGACTATGTCTCTCCTGCCATAATGAGATGCCTCCTCACCCTCATTAGCATGGCTACTATTTTTAAAAAAGAAGAAAGGAACAAGTGTTGGTGAGGGTGTGCGGAAGTTGGAATCCTCGTGCTCTGCCGGTGAGAATGTAAAACGGTTGCAGCCACTATGGGAAACAGTATGGCACGTCCTCAAAACATTAAATGCAAAATTACCATTCGATCCAGCAATTCCACTGCTGGGTACACACACTCAGAACAGAAAGCAGGCTCTTAAAGAGATATTTGTACACTCGTGTTCAAACCAGGGTTATTCACAGTAGCCAAAAGGTGGAAATAACCCAAGGGTCCGTGCATGGGCTTCCCTGGTGGTGCAAGTGGTAAAGAACCCGCCTGCCCACGCAGGTTAGACATAAGAGGTGTGGGTTCAGTCCCTGAGCCGAGAAGATCCCCTGGAGAAGTGAATGGCTTCCCACTCCAGTATTCTTGCCTGGAGAATCCCGTGGACATCGGAGCCTGGAAGGTGGCAGTCCCTGGGGTCACACAGAGTTGCACATGACTGAAGCGACTTAACATGCACGTCCATGAATGGAGGAACGGATAAACAAATGCAGTCTCTACTGAAAGGGAATATTACTCAGCCTTAAGAAGGAAGCGCGTCCCTGGTAGCTCAGTTGGTAAAGAATCCGCCTGTAATGCAGGAGACCCCGGTTCGATTCCTGGGTCAGGAAGATCCCCTGGAGAAAGGAAAGGCTACCCGCTCCAGTATTCTGGCCTGGAGAACTCCATGGACAGTCCATCAGGTCACAAAGAGTCAGACACGACAGAGTGACTTTCACTTCACTTCAAGAAGGAGGGACATTCTGACACAGGCCACGGCCCGCATGAAACTTGAGGTCATTATTCTGAGTGAAATAAAGCCAGTCACAAAAGGACAGATGTTGTATTTCACTCATATGATGACCCTAGAGGAATCAAATTTATAGAGGCAGGAAATAGAACGGCGGGTGTCCGGGGCTGAGTGGAGGGATCAATGGAAATTGCATTTTAACAGGTACAGCGTTTCAGTTGCACAAGATGAAAAGAGTTCTGGGGATGGTTGCTCATCATTGGATTGTATTTAATGTCACTGAATTACACACAGATAAATGGTTAAAAATGGCCAATTTTATGTTATGTATACTTTACCACAATT